AATATACTAGTATAAGAGTAAGACTCTAGTTGATTTAGAATTAGGGAATTCAGTTTTGATAGGGGATGATAAAGCTAGTCGCTGCGGGTAGGCTATCCCCTTTTTAGCTATTTTATCTTATCTTTAATAAAAGAGATAAGATTATTGAACCCTAATTACCCTAGAGTAACTACTTTAAAAGATTAGACTAGAACTATAGTAGTTTAATAATAAAGATATTGTAATAAAAATCATATATTCTAGTAAAGACACCTAGCTATAGTTAGCTAAGCTACTAGGCTAAATAAAATATATTACTAAGTAAGCTAGTTAGCTAGTAGGCTAGTTATACTAGTTAGCTAGTTAATTAGTAAGTCTAGTAGCAACTGAACCTGTTAGCTAGTTGGCTAGTTAAGCTAGTAAATTAAATAGCTAAATAAGCCAGTAAGCTGGATAGCTAAGCAACTTAATTAGCTAGTTAAGCTAATTAGCGAGTTAGATAGGTATATCTGGTTTAAAATAGTTCGGCTTAGATAGACTTAGTTATTTTAATATAGCTTAGTTTAGATAGGCCTAGTTGGTTTAGTATAGTTCGGCTTAGATAGGTCTAGTTGATTTGATATAGTTTAATTTAGATGTGCTAGTTGGTTTAATATAGATCGGCCTAGTTGATTTGGTATAGTTTAAATAAGATGTGCTAGTTGATTTGATATAGATAGGTCTAGTTAGTTTAATATAGCTTGGTTTCAATAGGTCTAGTTGATTTAGTATGGTTTGGCTTGGACGGGCCTAGTTAGTTTGGTATAGTTTAATTTAGATGCGCCAGTTGGTTTAATATAGATTGCCTTAGATGCGCTAGTTAGTTTAATATAGATAGGCCTAGTTGATTTAGTATAGTTCAAATAAGATATGCTAATTAATTTAATATAGATAGGCCCAGTCAGTTTAATATAGCTTAGTTTCGATAGGCCTAGTTGATTTGGTATGGTTTGGCTTAGATAGGCCTACTTAGTTTAGTATAGTTCAGCTTAGACGGGCTTAGTTAATTTAGTATAGTTCGGCTTAGACGGGCCTAGTCGATCTAGTATAGTTTAATTTAGATACGCCAGTTGGTTTAATATATATAGGCCTAGTTGATTTGGTATAATTTAGATTATATACGCTAGTTGATTTGATATAGATAGGCCCAGTTGATTTGGTATAATTTAGATTATATACGCCAGTTGATTTGATATGGTTCGGCTTAGACGGGCCTAGTTGATCTAGTATGGTTCGGCTTGGACGGGCTTAGTTGATCTAGTATAGTTCGGCTTAGACGGGCTCAGTTGATTTAATATAGATTATCTTAGATACGCCAGTTGGTTTAATATATATAGGCCTAGTTGATTTGGTATAATTTAGATTATATACGCCAGTTGATTTGATATAGATAGGCCCAGTTGATTTGGTATAATTTAGATTATATACGCCAGTTGATTTGATATGGTTCGGCTTAGACGGACCTAGTTGGTTTGGTATAGTTCTGCTTGGACGGGCTCAGTTGATTTAGTATAGTTCAGATTAGATACGCCAGTTGGTTTGATATAATTTAGCTTCGATAGGCCTAGTTGATTTGATATAGTTCAGCTTACACAGGCCTAGTTGATTTAGTATAGTTCGGCTTGGACGGGCTCAGTTGATTTGGTATAGTTCAGATTAGATGTGCCAGTTGGTTTAATATATATGGGCCTAGTTGATTTGGTTTAATTCAGATTATATATACTAGTTGATTTGATATAGATAGGCTCAGTTGATTTGATATAATTCAGATTAGATACGCCAGTTGGTTTGATATAGTTTAGCTTCGATAGGCCTAGTTGATTTGATATAGTTCGGCTTACACAGGCCTAGTTGATTTAGTATAGTTCGGCTTGGACGGGCTCAGTTGATTTGGTATAGTTCAGATTAGATGTGCCAGTTGGTTTAATATATATGGGCCTAGTTGATTTGGTTTAATTCAGATTATATATACCAGTTGATTTGATATAGATGGGCCCAGTTGATTTGATATGGTTTGGCTTAGACAGGCCTAGTTAGTTTAGTATAGTTCAGCTTAGACGGGCTTAGTTAATTTAGTATGGTTCGGCTTAGACGGGCCTAATCGATCTGGTATAGTTTAATTTAGATACGCCAGTTGGTTTAATATATATAGGCCTAGTTGAATTGGTTTAATTCAGATTACATATACCAGTTGATTTAATATAGATGGGCCCAGTTGATTTGCTATTGTTCGGCTTGAACGAGCCTAATTGGTTTGGTATGGTTCGGCTTGGACGGGCTCAGTTGATTTAGTATGGTTCGGCTAGGACGGGCCTAGTTGATTTGATATGGTTCGGCTTGCACGGGCCTAGTTGATTTGGTATAGTTCGGCTTGGACGGGCTCAGTTGATTTGATATGGTTCGGCTTAGTCTGGCCTAGTCAGTTTGATATTGCTCGGTTTAGATACGCCAGTTGGTTTGATACGGCTCAGCTTGGATAGGCCCAGTTGGTTTGGTATAGCTCGGCTTGGAAAGCCCCTGTTGGTTTGATGTGGCTCGGCTTGGATAGGCCTAGTCAATTTGATATCGTTCGGCTTGGATGGGCTTGCCGTATTTAGCTCTATACTAATCCTATAAACTCCCAAATTAGACCGTTCGATAGAGAAAATTTACAGCTATCCAGCTATAATAAAACAGTTATATAAAAAATATAGTAAAACTAGTAAAACTGCAGATTCATCCAAATTATCACTCCATACCCATATCACTCCAAAATTCCTTGGCAAAACTATAAAAAAACCATACGCCGGCTACCATCTCTGTATCTAATCTCCATATCTGCTCTCTAAACCTAGTTGGCGTCCATTCCTTAGGCACCCAATCCCCGTTTAGGCTTGGATCTGTTATATCAGCCTCTGCATTTTCTTCTATTATTTTAGAAGATAATACCCAAAATGCTGCTATAAGCTCTGGTGAAAAACATCCTGTTTCAGTAGACAAAGCTCCTTTGCATAGCCTAGTAGGCAGATAGCAGTCAAAACAACAGCTATCTTCCTCTGGATAGACCATAGCCCTTAGCCTCTCAGCCTGTTGTTTATAGCCTGTCCTATAGTAGTAACAGCTAGTAAAACAGTGTGCAGAAGCTTCATCTCTCGGCTGTTCTGTCTGATATATAGCTATATTTAAATATTAGCAAACAGATATATAGATATATAGATATATATTTATATATATATATATAAAGAGAGAGAGAGTTGTAACTTACTATACTATCCTAGCCAGCATATAAAACATCTCTCCTCGGTCCAGTATTTTACCGCTCTAGCAAAAAAGGCCATATCGTTGTTATATTGCCTTTCCACTGCTCTCACCCTTTGGGATTGGCTAGTCAGGGTAGCAAATCGGCTAGCACAGAGATCGCATAGAGCCCAGCTAGGCTCACAATGCTCTAGGGTTTGGCTATCAAATACCCGAGCTATAACTCTCCGCCGGCAGATATCTTCATACAGATATTGCTGAAAATAAATTTGCTCAGCAGGGCCATTTGAAGATATATATCTTCCAGAGCTAGACGGAATTAGGCAATAAGCCCATGCAGATAGATTAGGTGATCTCCCAGCTCGGCCAGATTCCTGTATAAAACTAGTAATCTCGTATCGGCCAGGCTTAAAATGGATTACAAGATCCACATCTGGGAAATCATAGCCAGCTCCGATACCACTAGTAGCCAATAAAATTGGACCCTCGGCTCTGAAATAGGCTAATTGGGCTAATTTCTCTTCCTCAGATAGATCAGAATGGAATCTAGCTGCCTGAGGCTCTAAGGCCTGATATAGCTGATCAACTATAGCCTTTGTACGGCAGAACACAATAGTCTTCCTCCCGGTATAGCTAAGCCGATTAGCCCTAAAAGCCTTCATCCACTGTATCAGATAGCCAGCGTAATTCTCTGGCTTTAGCAAGGCCGGTAAACTCTCCACCCCATAGGCTATATTCTTCAAAATTAGGCTCTCTCTGATAATATATGGCTTAGATTGCAAGCCTAGCATCCCTGTAAGCTCAGCTTCTAGATAGCCCGGTAAGGTAGCCGAGGCAAAGATCATTGGAACCGGCAAAGCTAGGGTATGCCAAACCCGTTTCATAATAGGCCTATAGCTCTGCGAGAGTGGGATTAAATGGCATTCATCCCATATTAGCCTAGCTAGCCGTTGCTGATTGATTAGATAGCTAGCCATCTCGTAGAATTTAGGGTATACAATATACTCGATTTGGACAAGAATCAGCCGAGATTCCGGATCGAGACCCTTATAGCCGATAGCAGGCTCCCATACCGTTGGCCTTAGCCCTAAGGCCTTAGCTTTAGCTAGGATATCTAGCTTCAAAGATATCAACGGTATAATCAATATCGTTATCTGATTAGGCAATATACTAGCCCCAAAGAGGAATAGGGTAGTTTTACCAGATGCGGTTGGTAAGATAAGATAGAGATATGGAATTTGCTTTATTATAGCATAAAAAGCTTCCTGTTGGCCAGAGCTCCGAAAAACAGCAGTATTATCACTAAGGAATTCCCTAAGCATCTGCGTTAGGGTACCCCTATCGATATAGCTGCTATCTAGCAAAGGCGAGTATACTAGGCTGCGTATACGCTGACTGGCATCCAGATCTGGCTGATAGAGCCCAGTTGGCTGGCTAGGCCCGGCTGGCTGAGAGAGCCCGGCTGGCTGAGAGAGCCCGGCTGGCTGAGAGAGCCCGGTAGGCTGAGAGAGCCCGGTAGGCTGAGAGAGCCCGGCAGGCTGAGAGAGCCCGGCAGGCTGAGAGAGCCCGGCTGGCTGAGAGAGCCCAGTTGGCTGAGAGAGCCCAGTTGGCTGAGAGAGCCCAGTTGGCTGAGAGAGCCCAGTTGGCTGAGAGAGCCCAGTTGGCTGGCTAGGCCCAGTTGGCTCTGAGAGAGTGCCTGGCTGGCTGGAATATAGATTGCTATATAAGTTTAAAAACTCATAGAACTAGCCTAGGCTAACCTGTTTGGTAGGCCTGACTGCCCCTAAACGGATAGGGTAGTGATATTGTACAACCGGCCTCTCTAGGGGTAGTAAAACAAGCTCTGGAAGACTAGAAGAGGCTAGCTGGGCTTGGGCTTCGGCCTTGGGCTTCACAGATTGCCTATTATAGAACAGTGAGCCTAATATAAGCTGATCAGCTGATATACCCAAATAGGTATGCCATTGTTGACTAAAGCTAATCAAAGCTGTTTGGATATCTGCTCTGATACCCTGGAAGCTTGCTATATTTCGGCCATATACAGCTAAGCCGGTTCCACGAGAATGGTTCATCTGTTCGGCTCCAAGGCCTTCCACATCTAGCCTATCTGTACCCAAATCGGCCAGCGGATCGGCTAGACCAAGCCCATAACGGATAAAGCCTTGCATTAGATGCCGCCAGACCTTTATATTGATCCGCTGAGCAATCAATTCTGAGCTCATACTCTTCAGTGTATGTGAGAGTATCTTAGAAGAGAACGGCTGAGCTGTCCGGTAATCATAGAATAGTATAAAATAGGCCTCAGGCAGCCGCTTATGCAGCCAGATCAGCAAGCCCTCTTCAAATGGCCTAATATAGGCCAGATAGGCTAAAAGTAGCCACGAGATTGATTGTGGTAAGGCCCGTACAGCGTCTTTCTCTTGGCCATTTCGGCTAAAGGTCTTCGAATAGGCTAGCCGGATTAGGAAGATATGGTTCACTGGATCTAGGAATAAATTCCGCTGGTTGGTAGCTGTATTTTGCCAGATCACCTGATTTATCTCTGTACCTCTAGCCGGTGCACCGCTAGCTATATGGGTTAGGGTTAGAAGGCCCTTTAGCCAGTTGCTGCTAGTCTCTAGATAGCCTAGAACCTTAGACCGGGAGAGCTCTATATCAGGTCTATCTTCGGCTGCTATCTCCTTAGTCCAGGCTGGGGTAGCCAAAGCCTTCTGAAGTAAGAAATCAGATGGCTGGCCAGCTAGATAGACTGACAGAAAAGACCATTGATTTGTCATATTTCCTATATCTTCGAAGCTGGCAGCCTTGGAGAGAGATAGAGAAGATTGGGCCTAGATAGATAGATAGATATATATTAGTAAATATAGTAAGATATAGAGATATAGCTAGATATAGATATATATATATCATACTCGTTAGGGTTGTTAACTTACCGCTTGAAAATTTGTAAATTCCAGAAATAGATCATTTGATAAAGCTAGGGCAAGCTAATTTATACCTTTAGCTAGGAAGACCCTTAGATCTTGCTGCGAGAGAGTAATATGTTGATACCGAAGGGTATAGGGAGCCAGGCTATATATCTTGCCTAGCGAGGTGCTAGATTTCGATATAGCAAAGCCTAGGGCACGTAAGATCAATATATACCCTAACGGAGTCTCCGATTGTGCAATAAACTATTGGTGCATCCAAGATCTAGTATAACTAGCCATAGATTGATCAATAGCTAAATCAGTAAAGATATCTGTATATAGCCAATATAGTATAATCAACTGGTAGCATTTGATAATCGCTGAGTAAGAATGGGTGATTTGGTCCAACGGTTTAAAGCAATCACGTTGATAGTTCCGGCTAAAACAGGCTAGGAATGCATAGAGTGGGATATCTTGTCTATCTCTAGCCTCACATTCAGCTAGAGAGAGGGCTAGCTCAATTACTAAGCCTACACCCTTAGAGATCTGTTTATTATCTAAGCTAGCTTGCGGTAGTATCGGTAGAGTATCGTTATCGGAACTGGCTGTATCGGAGCCTGTATCGGAGCCTGTATCAGATAGATCATTAGGCTGGAAGGAAGCTGGCTGATAGGCAGCTAGGCTCTCGGATGGAGGTGGCAAAGCCTGTAAAAAGTGATCTAGGCTTGCTAGGCCAGCTAGCTGCCGCGGTTGTAGAGTATAAAGACCCTGATAGCTTGCAGGGCCGCCGCCATCGATAGAGAGATAAGAACGTAGTAAAAATTGAATTAAAGCCTGAAAAATCAGGCTATATTTCTTGATGGAGGCCTTATTTTGTAGACCCCGTAGCGGACGTAATGTAGCCTGGGTAGCGGGGTCTAGGCTAAAGGAATTCAGAGCCGCTCGGGTCTGTGGAGAGGCTGTTTGAATATAGCTATTCCCTAGAGAAATCAGCTGATATATAATAGCGGAGAGCCAGATCATCTGCTCCGGGCTCTGTAGGGTAAATAGGGTCTCTAGCTCAGCAGCATCCCGGCCAGCTAGATAGGCTGGATACTGGCTATCTGTGAAAAAGCCCCTAGCCTCGTAGGTCTCATCAAGGGGTTGGATTACCCTAGATTGTTTAAGAGAGCTCCGTAGATTAGCCAGGCTAGCTAAAAACTGGGTAGGGAGAGCTTGTTGGGTTGGCTGGCTGAGCCCGGTTAGCTGGCTAGGCCTGGTAGGCTGAGAGAGCCCAGTTGGCTGGCTGAGCCCGGCTGGCTGGCTAGGCCCGGCTGGCTGGCTAGACCCGGCTGGCTGAGAGAACCCAGTTGGCTGAGAGAGCCCGGTTGGCTGAGAGAGCCCGGTTAGCTGAGAGAGCGCAGTTGGCTGAGAGAGCGCAGCTGGCTGGCTAGGCCCAACTAGCTGAGACAGAGTAGCTATCTTTAGCCGCTGGCCTGGGCTAGGGACCGAGCCTGAGAGAGAGAGCTCTCTAGATCTCTTGCGAGTGAGAGTAGTAGGCAAAGATAGCCTAGGCTCGGTAACACGAAAAAGATAGGCTGAGCCCTCTAAGGCTTGGATCGGGCATATAGTAGCTTCTGCATCCTGAGCTGTATAGCCTGTAATCCTATGGCTCTCACGTAGATGGTCACGGGATCTACGCTGGCTCAGATGGAGAGATTTGCATAGTTTGCATTGATAGCCGTTTTGTGGTAGTTTAAGTGTCGGTAGCGGCGGAATAGGCTGAATTTCCAAGATCAGATGGTGGCTAGTAGCCAAAGATAGCAGCCGATAGCTAGCTAGATCAGCCTCGGTAAGAGACAGATTGTGGTGGAACTTGATTACATGATCAAGAATTTTAGTCTCATATAGTGCTTGCTGGTGTGTAGCACAGGCTATTAGACCGTACTGGGGATAATACACCAGATAAGGCGGTAGGGGTGGTAGGATAGAAGACATAATATCAATCAAGATTGGTAGATAGTAAAGATATATATCTTCAAAAAGGTAGCTAATGGTAGGTGAGGAAGTAGAAAGGATAAGAGAGATATATTTGGTAAAGAGGTAGTGTAAATAAGGTTTAGGGGGTGGCTGGGTGTGGGGTGGCAGCTAGATGTGGGGCGGTGGCTAAGATAGCCAATTAGCCCGTAAGCCTGTAAGCCAATTAACCAGTTAGCTAGTTAGCCAGTTAGCCAATTAGCCGGCGGTAGTCATAGAGCGCAATAGTCATAGAGCCCAGTAACCAGTAAGCCCGGTAGCTAGTAAGCCCGGTAGCTAGTACGCCCGGTAGCTAGTAAGCCCGGTAGATAGTTAGCCAGTTAGCCAGTAAGCCAGTGAGCCAAATAGCTAAGCAAACCAGACGGCTAAGCATACCAGATAGCTAAAGCCAGTTAGCTAGTTAGCCAGCTGCGCCAGTTAGCCGATAAGCCAGTAAAGCCGCTAGCTAGTAAGCCTGTTAGCCACTGAGCCAGACAGCTAAGGCAGACAGCTAAGCAAGCCAGCTGCGCCAGTTAGCCAATTGGGCCAGTAGTCATAGAGCCCGGTAGCTGGTTGGTCAGTTGGCTAGTAAACCAAGTAAAGCAGTTAGCTCGTTAGCCAGTTAGTCAGTGAGCGGGGTAGGCATAGAGCCCGGTAGCTAGTTAGCCAGTAAGACCGGTAGCTAGTAAGGGCGGTAGGCATGGAGCCCGGTGGGTAGTTAGCCAGTTAGTCAGTGAGACGGCGCGTTTGCTATTAAGCATATTAGCCAGTAAGCCAATTAGGCGGTTAGGGTGATAGCTAAGCAAGCTGAGTAGCACGGCTATATCAATGTAACGGCTATGACAATATCACCGCTAGATATATATTAGTAGTATATCAGGAGATTTATATATAGATTATAGAGATGAATCTTATGGTAAATTATATCTAGTATCAAGATATGTAGTTCAAGGGTTAGGGTGGTTAGGGTGGTTAGGGTGGTTAGGGTGGTTAGGGTGGTTAGGGTGGTTAGGGTGGTTAGGGTGGTTAGGGTGGTTAGGGTGGTTAGGGGGGTGGTTAGGGTGGTTAGGGTGGTTAGGGTGGTTAGGGTGG